GAACCAAATGGCATTGAACTGTTGTTTAGAAGAGACGAATCATTCAATAAATGAACACATGAAGATAGAATGTTCTGGACATATTGCCACTTTGTTATGTGCCTGTTGTCAAGTGATATGATCACGTCAATAGTTGGAATGACTGAGAAGACCTATGCATGGGTCTAATAACAATGACGCAACGAATAACTCAACTGATATGCTGAACATCCCTATTCGTCCATGGTACCTGGTGCTTCAATGAGCCACGTAAATATCGAAAGACAAAGAGTGACCTGTGACTGTTAGAATACTAGTTTACTAGAGAAAAGATACGTCATGTTTTTATAATTTTTACCACGTTAAAATATGTCCAGGCCAGTGGAAATAGACTGTTTCAAAAGACAGGTGATTCGAGTGAGGCAGCTGAAATAAAGTATTCTGATTGCTTGGCGATTTGAGCAAGATCAAGTTCAGAAAAGGATGATGAAATTTTATTCTCATCTGCTCACACGATGAATCACATAATGAATCATAAGGTTAACACTATACAAGCACAATACTATTACTGAGGTTGAAGTCTTCACGTTGTCCCCTGTAATTGGTTTGTTGGGGCAATGTAAACTGGAATGATTGTCTAGTACTGTTGGTGGAAATGTTTTGAGTTCAGCAGATTTGGAAAACGTTTAGTAAGTCAGTGTCTTCAAATCTATGAAACAGGTGGACTAATCAATGATGACTTGTCACCAGTGTTGAATGCAAATGTGAGCAACATCTGTCCGAAAATGAGTGAGTATGCATCATATACAACATTTAGAAAAGGCAGTATCCCGAATAAAATGACTGGCATGAAATGTAGGAGGTATAGCAGAGTCAGTTACAATTACAATTAATATGCAGCACGGGTTGACTCACCATTGAGTTTTGCGATTAAGGGCCAAGCTGGTAAGATCAGTGTACTGGTCAAGTACAGTACAGTATATAAGTAGATGACGCAAAATCACCTGATGTGATTTCGGACAACCAAGTCTCTTTTCATCAATACATTCTCTTACTTTTGATGACAAAGTCTGCATATTTGATTCATAATGTTATCTGGGTGTCATGATGAACATTGAACTATAAATCGATACGATCACTATGAGCTCTTGAATTTCTCTCATAAATCACTCACAAATTTCCGGAACCTTGTCGTGTTAAACAGAGTGACCCTATTTGCACAAACACTAATCGATATACAAGAGTAATTTTCAGACATGATCTGAATAAACTGAGGTCATTATCAAGCATTTCATGATATTGTAAATACCAGTTAAACTGAGATGTCTGTTAACACTTCGATAAATGGTATATCATGAGTAAATCAGCTAAATAGTGAAAAAGAAGGCTACGGGTTTCTGAGCTTGTGCCCGGCGTTCATCATTGCGCGGGGTTGTTGATTATAAATATCATTCGTTTTGAGTTTTTGGCTGTCTGATTTCATATCAGAATGGTTGTGGGTTGAGTTGAAAGAGGCAATCAGTAGAAGAGCAAAGGCATGTTGATGTTAATGTCAGTTATTTCATCTAGAATGATATACTGATGACATTATATAAACCTGTCATCAGTAAGGAGGATATTACGTAAGCTGAAAGTGGCATAATGACACGATCGAAACGAGATGATGTGATGACGAGCTATGAATTGTGACTGGAACATCATCCAATTAATGTGCATTTATTGTTTTATACCAACTTATAATTATTAGCGAGAGTTTCCAGGGATGATGGGGAAGAGTTAATGTGCCACACCGTTCAAAAGTGGATTTGGCCAATGTGCGTAGCATCATAAAATGGAATCTGACCTGCTAGATCAGGTGACTACACTCTTCTTTAGACAGTTCGACATCCGCAAAACTGTAGGTCCAATTCCTCCTCAAGTTGAACGTGGCACATTTTCATATAAATTAGCACTGTGTAAATTGATGTCCACTTGTGTGTGTATAATTATTTCAAAAGCAAATGACATTCATTTGCGTATGGTTTACTAAATTTCACAAATCCTTGTGATCTGTGACAAATGTGAAGTAATGTATGAAAACCATTTAGCAGTGTTAATTGGAAAACTGCTGTTTTCTGTGTGTCTACCTGAATACACATGAATTAGAAGTTTCCACAGTTTGTGCTGTACCAAATTCGTATTTCGCTACACATTTTATTGAAGTCGAAGGTGAACAAAGAATCACAGTTGTTTAGATACGTGAATGAACAACTAAATAAATAGACGTCAACCTAAATTTCCATAGACAAGTGTGAACTATATGATCGGAGAATAAGTTAAAGTACATTCGGAAATGTGAATATAATACCGTGGAGACACTGAACGAGTTATATGTTGTTAAAGTAGTAGACAAGATATAATGTTAGAATATGATAGCATCAAGTGAAATAAAATAAAACAAAATTGAACCAGAAATAAAGGGGATAACAAAGTTGTTATGTGAATTACATAGTAAAATCTAGACCACAGTAACGAAAGAGATCGCAGAAATTGATTTGTACACAAAGTTCTTGCTTTATGTTACGTACTGCCAAGGCCTCTGCCAAACAAATCAAATACACTCATGTTCCTTTTGACAAACTTTGTCGAATTTTGTAAGCGATGTGTCAGATGCTGCGTGGTCAGTCAGTATCTACAATATGTTGCTTTATTGATAAAATAATACCTCTGCGCTCTCCTTTCCTTGATCAAACTAGGAGATGCTCTCGAATGCGGCGGGACATGCTTTCCGATGAATGTCCTGTGTTTCTAGCTCCACAACAGCATAATACAAATGATGATTTGTCAGCTTTTTGCACTTATTCTAAGGAGACAATCTACTGTTAACTTCCTTGTTATTGTAGATAGTGAACTGGCAACTGACAGCAATATGCACCCTAGTGAACATAGGAAGACTTTTACTTGGCCCCTGAAAGAACAAAACATGAAATACGACACTGTCGTAGACGAACTAACTAACCCAAGTCCTACGACAAGGACTGTCCTAGATACTTACATTACATGAGATAAAATCTAGAATCAGAAGACTAACTGGACAACAGAATAAAAAGGACAAGAATTTGGGTTGCATAATAGGGGCAAAAAAAGACTAATACATTTCAATGGAAAAAAATGCTCAAATCTAACGGGAATACAGTAAAGTGCTTAGGAAACACCTCTATCAGAATCACAATGGTATTGATAATCAATAAGACTAATACTGATGATAAACTAAAACAGTAAAATGAAACAAAACTATAATAAGAAAGTTACCCTGGTCCCGTTAAGGCAAGTGAAGCTGTGTAGTGCTTTTCAAATGGTTTAGCTAATTTGGAAATCCTTCAGGATATGAGACAGTTATAATGGGAGACAAATTGCACACGACTCATTTTTCACAAACCTGAGTGAACACAGTCACCTCTGCAGGGTAAAGTAACCTTGTCATTTTCTGTGCAATGAGTTCATAAAAGACTCAGATATATTCGGCATTTTTTATCAATATTTGTTACCATCTCGCATGATATTTTAATGGTAACCACTTATCTTATTACTTCTCAGTTGCTGAATAATAGTATAGAAATATTCAACTGCGGAGTTTGCTACAATAATTTTACAACTGCGCCTGGCATTCCCAAAACACACATCGAAGTGTCGTTTACTACTACCTTACTAAAGAAAAATGATGAACTGCTGAAAAAAATTTGGCTGTCACCTAAAAAGACCACGTTTTGCTAAGTTACATGAAACTCTGATTAAGAAGAGTTAATGCTGTCCATTAATGTGATGTAACGTTCAATAACATGAAGGTTCGAGTCGATCTCTGAATGTTGATGCAGCTCCTGTGTATTAATTCCAGTGAAAAATGCTTTTTTCACCCTCGAAAATTAAAAGATTAATTGTTAGGAATGATGTTTCATTATGAAACATCTCCTTTCAATCCTATCTGACCAGATGGACAAGAGAATCGTGTTCTGAAAATGGAAATCTACGCAAAAGAAAGAAACCTGATTCCATTATACTTTCACAATGAAAAGTTATGCGTGAATGGATTACAGTGGGCGCGTTGCTACTAACACATATGTAGAGTGATACCTCATTTGAGTATGATTATTATCAGAAGTAGCAGGGATCATGTTGACTGAAAAATGTGATATTTTGCACCCCGTCCTTATGCACTTACACGCGCCTCGTTAACATTCAAAACATTATCATGATGAACATTGGAATAATGTTCATATTGAAAATTGGTTTGTTTACACTGATGTTTCGCTGCAGAAATGTACATAATCAAAGGTCGTTACGGAGTATCTCATGCAGTATTATCAGGTAGTTTATTGGTCTCCCAAAAATTATATAAATGTCACATATGTGAATACTTGAGCAGTATATTAGAATAGGAGACGGTGAGTTTATCAGCTTGTCTTTTGTAAACCGACGTAACTGACTGATGTGAACGAATACCATAGTCTGAGATTCTAAGTGAATTATTTCACATTATGGTATGGCGTGGTCATTTGTAATATTCAGAAAATAATTTTATTATTATTCTCTGAGGTTCCAAGTGGAACATGAAGCTTCACCAGCACAATTCCGTTTCATCTTGTTTTCTCTGGTTGCCTTCGGGGTTTCCCATAGGCCTTTGTGTCCTACTAACACTATCTTCTTCATTTTGTCCTCTAACACCCAACGCCCATCGTTTCCCCACTCCAGCACCTGGAGCGTGGTGTGAAACAGGAGGGAGACCATTTCTTGTTGAGTCATATATTCATATTTGTATTTCAGTTTTGAATAGTGATCCGGGAACGGAATAATGAATTTCACTATTTCGAGAGCCATGATTCTCCCAGAGGTGTGTCCAGATAACCTGTAGACTACTTCATATCGTACGCTAATTACTGTTTCGCATTTAGATGTTTTATATGGTGTCAACCATTTTCAGATTTACAACGCAGACAAGAATTATTAGCTAATGATAGGTTTCACATCTGGAGTCGCCATAAAGAATGAAAAATAAGATAACATTTCAACTAATTCATTTCAATTTCAGCGAATTCAGTAATGACAAAATCAATGACCCATGGCCTCTCCTGCTTGTGAAGGTTTTACTAACGTAAGTACGTGCATTTATACTCCCCAATACTTTTTCGAAGTTAAACTGCTCAATTTCAACAGATAAGATATAATGGTGCAAAATATTCCAAAATCCTGCATTAAAAGTCAATCTGAACGAAGAATATTCTTTTCAATAATTTCTCCTATTCAGGTTCTCACGCTTATAAAATATAATATTTGTTGTCGTTACAATAATGGCCAGTTATGCTGCGGATACACATTTTACGTAAAATAACAGATTAGTTATGAGGTGTCAAAATAAATAGTCGTATTTGTGTGACAAACGTGCTAATTGGCTGAAATCAATTACAAAATAGTGTAAAGTGGCAGACATTGGCGGTAATTAGTCTCAATAGATTTGTAGAGTGTAGAGTAGGAAAATTGACAAGTCAGATCAAGGTTATAAAAGGTGTCAAGTGAGTGGTTAATACGAAATGGTATTATGTATTGAAGAGGAGATAGTAAGACAGCAATGAGAGGTTCGTAATGAAATAACGAATATATGAAATCAAACGGGTGGGGGCATATACTGAGAAAAGAGATAATATCACTAGTAACCACGCCAGATACTAGCTTACTAGGCTACTAGCTTACTAGTTTTCTCGCCGGTCCCAAGCCTGGGTAAAGAGGGAGGGTTGGGGCGTGGTGCTAGCAACTCCACCCCTGTAAAACAACCAAATCGCTACAGAAACTTCAACGAATAAATATATTAAAAATTCTAAAAACATAAGCAATAGCCTTACTTTTCGCTGGAATCGGGGAAGTGAAATGACGCAGGCTGGTGAAAGCCTTCGGGAAGCCAGTCAGCCGATGTGCCTTCTTTCGATGAAAGCAAAAGTAAGGATGGGTACCTGGAATGTTCGCACAATGTACGAAACTGGAAAGGCTGCCCAGATAGCCGCTGAAATGAGAAGGTACAGAATAGAAGTGTTGGGAATCTGCGAAAGCAGATGGAACGGAACTGGAAGGTGCCAACTACCTACTGGAGAGACAGTAATCTTTTCCGGCCACCCAGAGGACAACCATGAGCACACCGAGGGAGTGGCCATCATGATGTCACCAACAGAAGCCAAAGCTCTCATGCAGTGGGAACCAATCTCCTCCAGGATAATGACAGCCAGGTTCAACTCAAAAGGAAGGAAAGTTACAGTCATTCAATGCTATGCGCCTACAAACGTCTCAGAACAAGAGAAGAAGGAGGCGTTCTACAGACAACTACAAGCAATAATGGACAACGTCCCAAATGGCGATATCAAAATCCTGATGGGCGACATGAATGCGAAGCTGGGAGGAGACAACACAGGAAGAGAACTCACCATGGGTCGTGAGGCCCTCGGTGAAATGAACGACAATGGTGAACTCTTCTCAGACTTCTGCGCCTTCAATGATTTGGTGATTGGTGGTAGTGTGTTCAAACACAAGGATATACACAAGACGACATGGATTTCACCAGATGGAAACACCGAAAACCAAATAGACTTCATCTCAATTTCAAGAAAGTGGAGACGGAGCCTACTGGACACAAGGTCAAGGAGAGGAGCAGATGTGGGTTCAGACCACTATCTAGTAGGAGGGACTTTCAAGGTGAAACTAAAAGCCTCGAGGATAGCTGGGGATAGGCCACAATGCAAGTTCAACACTCAGAAACTGAAGGACACAACCACAAAAGACACTTTCACTGCAACTGTCAGAGCAAAGCAGGAAACACTACGCGACAGCACTGAAGAATCATGCGTGGAAGAACATTGGAAGTCTCTGAAGGCGATTCTCAACGAAACGTGTTCAACGGTTCTAGGAAGAAAGAAGAGACAAGACAAGGAATGGCTCTCAACGGACACTTGGAAATTAATAGAAGAGAGGAGAATGGTGAAAGAGAAAATGATTCAATGCAAGGACGGACAGGAGAAGGAGACGCTGAGCTCAACTTACAAAGCACTGGACAAAGAAGTGAAGAAGAGTGCTAGGAAGGACAAAAGACGATTCTACGACAATCTAGCTACTGAAGCTGAGAAGGCAGCAGGCAAAAGGGACCTGAGGACACTATATCAGATAACCAAATCTCTATCCGGGAAGAGATCAACACAAGCGAAACCTATAAAAGACAGCCAAGGGAACCCAATTACCAAGGAAGAAAAACAGATTAAACAATGGGCGGATCACTTCAAAGGACTCTTGAACCGACCATCACCTGCAACCCGTCCAGAAATACCAACAACAGCGCGCACACAACTGCAAGTTGACACCAATCCTCCAACGAGAGCTGAAGTCTTGAACGCAATCAAGCTTCTGAAAGCTGGAAAAGCAGCCGGACCAGATGGAATACCCCCTGAAGCACTGAAAGCAGACCCAGAGACTACAGCAGACATGCTGACTCCATTATTGCAAAAGGTCTGGAAGGAGGGAAAGGTGCCTACTGACTGGAGGAAAGGTTACCTCGTGAAACTACCAAAGAAGGGCGACTTAGGACTCACTCTGCAAGAACTGGCGAGGAATCATGCTCCTATCGACGCCAAGTAAAATCCTGAGTCGCATCATCCTGGAGAGATTAAAGGACGCACTGGAGACAGAACTCCGACCAGAAAAGGAGGGTTTCAAATCATGTACTGACCAAATTGCAACTCTACGCATCATCATCACAGAACAAAGCATGGAATGGCAATCAAACCTCTACCTCAACTTTATAGACTTTGAGAAGGCCTTCGACAGCGTTGACCGTGAAGTAATTTGGAAATTACTCGAGTACTATGGCGTACCCCAAATATTCATCAACCTTATTCAACAGCTGTACGACAACGGCACCTGCCAAGTGATCCACAACGGAAGACTCAGCGAGGCGTTTGGAGTAAACACAGGAGTCAGACAAGGGTGCTTATTATCACCAATGATATTCCTAATTGTGGTGGACTGGATTATGCGTCAGACAGTGGGAAACGAGAAGACAGGAATATCCTGGACCGACGTGAAGAACCTAGAAGACCTGGATTTCGCGCGTGGATGACTTATGTTTGATGTCACACACAATCGAAGACTTACAAGCGAAAACCGACAAACTGGTCGAAGAAGCAGCAAAGACAGGACTCCAGGTAAACATAGACAAGACGGAGGTTATGAAAATAACCAACCAACAACAGCAACAACATCCAACGTCAATCACCATCAACGGGAGGGATTTGAAAGAGGTTACTTCATTTCACTTATCTAGGGAGCATTGTCTCAACTACAGGAGGAGCGGACGAGGATGTCAAATCGAGAGAGAATCGGGAAGGCGAGAAACACATTCATCAGCCTGAAATCAATCTGGAAATCTTCGTCACTCAGCATCACCAACAAAATTCGGATTTTCAATACAAACGTCAAGTCAGTCAGCTCTTCTATACGGATCAGAAACTTGGCGGGTCACAAAGAATATTTCCAACAACCTGTTGCAGACCTTTATTAACAACTGTCTTCGCTCTATACTGAAGATCAGATGGCCGGAAAGAATCACCAACAAGGAATTATGGGAACAAACAAAGCAAGAACCAATCGCCCAACAAATATGCAGGAGAAAGTGGAGATGGATCGGACACTCGCTGAGGAGACCGTGCGTCAAGCCCTCGAGTGGAACCCGAAAGGGAAGCGGCGTGTGGGACGTCCAAGGGTGACATGGAGGAGATCGTGTGAAGAGGAGTTGAAAGAATATGGATTAACATGGATGCAGGCGAAAAGTGTTGCAGAAGACAGAAGAAAATGGAGACGTGCAGTTGAAGCCCTATGTTCCACTAGGAACCCAAAGGAGCAATAATAATAATCACTAGTAATGAGTCTGGATTGTGTAGATGGAAAATTCGATAGTATTGAGAGAGTATTTGCATGAAGGGCATAATTTATTACCAATAATATTAATTGTAGTGATAAGCAAAGAGAAAAAAGAAGAATCATCAGTCCAAACTCGGCCGCGGTAAGAACGGAGTCTGGACGTGTTCATTTTGGATACAAAGTTCCTGTTTACTGGATATTATTCTCACCAAAGGCGCTTCTTCCCCTTCACCCTCTTAGTTATCTTCTTTCTTTGCGTATTAATACAGTTGTTATTATTCGTCATAATTTATGCCCTTCATGCAAACACTCTCTCAATAATATCGAATTTTCCATCTACACAATCCAGACTTATTACTAGTGATATTATCTCTTTTCTCAGTATATGCCCCCAGCCGTTTGATTTCACATATTCGTTATTTCATTACGAACCTCTCATTGCTGTCTTACTATCTCCTCTTCAATACATAATACCATTTCGTATTAACCACTCACTTGACACCTTTTATAACCTTGATCTGACTTGTCAATTTTCCTACTCTACACTCTACAAATCTATTGAGACTAATTACCGCCAATGTCTGCCACTTTACACTATTTTGTAATTGATTTCAGCCAATTAGCACGTTTGTCACACAAATACGACTATTTATTTTGACACCTCATAACTAATCTGTTATTTTACGTAAAATGTGTATCCGCAGCATAACTGGCCATTATTGTAACGACAACAAATATTATATTTTATAAGCGTGAGAACCTGAATAGGAGAAATTATTGAAAAGAATATTCTTCGTTCAGATTGACTTCCAAAAGATAAGTTGAGCAGTAGACAGCATACATATCGTGAAGAGTATAGAGAAATGGCAAGTCTCAGAATGTCGAAGATGAATTCTCACCCTGATAACTTTTTATATGCTGAATTCTACTTCACTGAAGTGACAAGGAATTTGGATGTGTTATTTTATGGATCGTAGGCTTAGTCATGTCTTACTGGGTTGCAAATACCATCTACCTAATCCGTTCTTCTAATATTCACTGACTGAATGTGCTATAATTCAGGAGAAATAAGTATGGGAGTAGGGTGAAAGTGAATATATAAAAGGACTGAATTTAACAAGATTTATGTCAGTGTTAATAATTTCTCGCTGAAAGGTTTTAGTTAATCTTGCTGTTCGAAGAATGATGCATGTTATACGTACTTAAGTACCGAATTATCTCTGGGATCACAGGTAACAAATTTTCTGACCAGAGTGGAAATTCAAGCCAGTGAATTTGAAAATTTGTTGGTTTATACTGTGTTTTCCTTCTTAAAGTATATTTCTGATAGAGTTTCAACTGCGATGTATATTGAAATGTTGAAGGACGGATCGTATTACTTCACCGATTAGTGTAAATTGCATAAACAATGAGTTTTATCAGACGTAGCCGTTTCAGCACAAACTGATGTGTTATTGATTCTGATGAATACATGGATGTTACATTTTGTTATTCATTTCAGAATCTTTGGTTTCATAATGAACTTATTTGTACTGATTACTCTGAGATCACTACTGAAGCACCAAAGTTATGGCATTATGATGACAATGGCAGTAAGTTATGGACTAATGGAATCTTTTCGTGAATGATTCTCTTGTAAATATGGAAATAATGTAGGGTCCTTGACTAATATCGTGTGAAATCATATTTCCATCAAGTATCTCATTGTAGATAAGCAAATGAAAATTCACAGAAAGTTGTAATTTTGATTGTTAATTTGGAGATTTCAGTTGTTGGAAACTTTCATTTAGCCAATATAAATCTCGTGTATGAAAATTTGAAATCAAAGATAAAATCTCGGCAGTCGTAACTTTGAACCATTCACCACTCAGCTTACTGCTGTGCGACTGATATTTTTAACGATACGAAAGATAGTTCGAAGAAAGTATTAAGGCATTATGTCCTTGACATATCCGTGTATGGTTAACTTTTTTCAGTTTATCTCACCCTAGGATTACTATTACTATGTGGTTCTTTGTAATCGACTTATCAGAATAAACAGACATTGTGGTGAGTGGTTAACGTCAAAGAAATAATCAGGCGAAATGACAAGACTGGCTGTAGTAAAACTGGATCGCCATGAGTGAAGTAAGTTGACATCCATTTAGAGGATAAACAAATGGTGTGTATAGCGTCGCAGATTAAAAATAATTCTAAACTACCTGAAAATGTCGGTGGCATTAGTTTGTCCTCTTAAATGAGACGCACTGTAGAAATTTAGCCATACACGTGGATATTTCTTTACAAAAACATGACCATACAGAAAGCATCGTAATTTTGAGACCAGATTGACACATAGCCATGACCGGAAATCCATCTACGTTGCAGATCATATCGTCGCTTATTGGTCTGAAGTTTGATATCACTCTTATGTCTTCAGGGAATACAATTACAATCATGACTAGGCCCTCACATTTCTCAACAAATATGCGCTGAGTTCAGAAACACTTTCAGTAATGAAATGTTATAATGTGAATGACCACTATCGATGTGACATGAAAAGACAAGTTTTAATCTACATATTTTTCATAAAAACCACTGAAATGTTTCATTTTGTTGTCTAGATCCTTTCATGGGCTACCGTTGATTGTATATTGTGTTATCAAAAAGGCATAATAAACGGCTTGATTTCGTTTGCTATAACAGCTGTCCTTGGTTCCCTAGCAATGTTTCTCGGATTCAAATCAAAAGAATTAACACCGAGGGGAAATGATGTGATCTTTGGAATGCTTACGGTATTTTGCATCACAGTAAGCATCTCCTGCATTATATCTGATACCCAACATGTGAGTTTTTAATGTGAACTGCGAATTTTACCTCAGATGTTCCAAGTGTATATACCCATGTATGAAAATATATCTGGAAACTTTGCGATTGGCTAGGTATTGTGTTGCTACTATTCGCGTAGTGCATAGCGATGAGTTCACGCCCATAATAATAAATAATCAGTGAATAGCGAATCCGCTAGCCACCCGTTGCATTTTGAAAATAGACTGAATGCTTAACCATTCCAGAATACAAACAATAATGTATGATTTTAATTGAATTTTAGATTTTCCCGTCGATTCCACTGTCAGTCACCATCCACCAATTAAATAATGTGTGATATTTTACTTGATCGAAATACAAATCGTCTCTGGTTTCGCTTTGCCAACTAAAGTATACTTCCAACGCTAAACTGATTATATTAGATTCTATGATTAGAAAAAGGGAAGCTGTGTTCCCCATTTGATAGAATACTTGACGAATGATCTCTGTTAGTCACTGAATTCAAACTAATTGACTGTTTATCGGAAGGCATTTCTTTGAATTTCAGTTTCGAATGATAATTTCAGTTACAAATCGAAAACGTTTTCTTATGCCATTTGAATCTAACCAACAATTAATAAATTTTCACACTAATTCTTATTTCGTTTGCTTTCCAATTTTAGTTTCCATACGATTTAATAGGTGCCATATTCCTCGGCTGCGGAGTGATGCTCGTGAGTTGCACACATGTTTCCTCAAGTTGTTATATTGAAACTGTTCAGTGTGTAATCTGTTTGGTCACTCTGATTGACAGTTCTTATGATTGTCATTTGACATTATTTACTCAGTTGATCTCTACATTTTTAGCTGGATTGTCCCTTGTGCTTACAGGATTTCATCATGAGCTGACATCAGCTAAGGAACTACTGGAAAACCTAGGAGTACTGGAAAGCTGTTTCGTCCTTGTTTAAGACTTTTCATCAGTGCGTACCAACCGACAGGGTTCAAAGCTACCTCCTTCTGGTTACAAGGCGAGCTCGTATACCATTAAGCCACTGGGACCCTATCCAATGGCCCATGAATTCTGGCTTCTGCCATTTCACGATTTAGCCCAACGGCTAGCCAGTATCTTCGGCGAGTATTTGTCCTCACACCCAACTTGCTGCACCCTACTGGTCACGACTTCTTTTGTGCTAATTATAGTTAGATATAAGAAGTGCATTGATATACCTCTTCAAAGAAACATAAAAAATGTGCGCGCTTGTGTCTTTAGGAATGTCCGTGAAGACGAAACGCAACACGACTGTGGAGATCCCGGAAGAAAAAAACACCTCGCAGAATGGATGATATTATTTCAAATTTGTGAAACCACTGTAGGCTCCATGATTTTCGTGACGTTTATTGATTTGTGGGTACTTGTTCTCAGCGAAATACTTCTCAATTGGTGTCACTTTTATTGAGACATATCAGGTGATACTGAATTCCGACATTTTTTTCGCTAAGTTCATACGTTATCATGAGAAACCGTCCACTAATGAAATCCACTCACCTTGTCTAGGCCTTATCATTGAAATATGCATTGATATTGTATTTAATAAAATAGCCCAAATGTTTATTCTTCATATTCGTTTCATATCTTAGCAGTCTTTTTTATTATATTTGTAGATAGTATACTACACAACAGTGTGGTTAAAGTATTGCACAGACAAAATAGTAAAAAGGAGGATATTTATAGTCTACACTGAGTTATTCGAACTTCTGGGACTGTTCATGATATTTGCCAATTTATTCGAGTACATACAGGTACAGGTACAGGTACATACAGGATACAGGTAGCTGACATTGTGTCATTTTCTACCTTTGATAATATCTTAATAAATAAAAGAGTAGTTGTATACACTGACTTCTGTCATAAAGTCAAGAATTCCCAGTATCGTTTATTTCATTTCAATTCTCCCAAGAGAGACTTCAAAGATGATCTTCACGTGTTTGAGTTTGTAACTGTAGTTTATCATGACAGGCAACGTGACGACGTTGTCATATTTGTTAAATCTTGTTAAAAGGGTTATTCTCACTTTACACTCCTGGCGACCGAATCCTCCACCAATGTAAATATCTATCTGCATTATTTGTCGGGAACAGATTTTGTGCACACGTATTAGGTCTCATGAGTGAATTTTATTGTTTCAATTGGATTGAACAAAACCGTAGACAATGTAGACAATTTCACCACCTTGTGAAATCAAAATGCCTTTTCATCCATATTAACGCCATTTTGGCATGCAAGTACATCCGTACATTGTCTGCATTTTTATAAATTTTCACTTTGTCCGAGTGTCTACATCAGTTGATCACATTTGTTCCTTGAATTTTAACAAATTCTTTGCAGGTGCTCTAGTAAAGCAATGACGCGAGAATTGTACACTGTGAAGTTATTTCGTATTCTAACAATAAGTAACTGATTTCAGTTGTTCACATTTTTCCACCTCTCAATCACGCTCATGAGACATTGTAAGTACGGCGAAATTGAAGTGATAGAACTATATTCGGGGAAAATCTTTAATAAGAAATGAGGTACACTGTTTATGGATTTGTTATGCAGTAATTTATTACTTATAACATAGTTTGGTTATCAGTCAACATGTTGAACGTAATAGACCATAGCTGTTACTCAGCTTTCCTGAGACATTCGGCTTCAATATTTTATTTCATAAATCTTGGTCACAAAAATTCGGTAGAAGAATAATAATATAAGCAGTGTAGTGCTATGAGAATACTCATTATTATAAAGGATTTTTTCATTTCTCAATGAATGAAAAACAAAAGGATACTTTTTTAACCAATGTTTTGCTAGTTAGTAGCTTTATTAAAGTGTTATTCAACCAGAATTTACAAAATCGCAGCATATATATAACAACTTCATTAACTTTTCCTTAGTATAGGGTCATTTCTTGCATTGTCAAATTGGCCAATTGGTAAAGATAACAAAACCAAGCGTAGATTGTTGGATTTGATAAATGTGTAAAATTACAAAAGCAGCATGTGCTTACATGATTAAATCGCTAGTCATATTTGTGTTTATTTCTTCATTTCATGGAGAGGGAGATGTTGTAACCAGGTCAAATTCTGTTATACTCCATCATTACTATTCAAACAATTTGGATTCCATTCATAGGAACTGTGATCAAGATTTGATCGGATAGTTGCAAAATAATTGAGCGCTGAGTGAGAAGTAGACATTTATAAAGTTATATTTGTAAAATCTCAGCGAAATTGAAATGATTAATTCCAACGTTTCGTTCGGCAATCTGGTCCGAACTTCTTCAGGGAAATTAATCGAAATTAACATAACAAAGTTTATATATAAAGGGACACATCTTGTTTTTAAAATTCTTGTCCAATCATGAATCGTGCAACAGGTATCAACATGTATCATAAATAAATAAATGGGATTGTATGTTTATATAAAAGTAAATCTCTTATTTTTAAAATATGAATCAATAGCTATACTAAACAAAACAAAACAAAACAAAAATTGTATGAACTATTATCAAAAACTTTTTGACCTCAGACTTTCAAAATTTGTCTACTTTTGTTAAAATATATGTGTGTATGCAGTATATGCAGGATACAATGGTGTGTGTGTGTGTGTGTGGGTGGGTGGAACAGTCATAAAACATTTGCTATTCTCATATGAGCTGTGATCAAGATTTGACCGGATAGTTACAAAATAATTGACATTTTTTTTTTTTTTTTTTTTTTTTATAGATTTGTTATTGTCTCTATTAGAAGACGTAGACAATCGGGAATTTGACCAAGTGTAACTACTTGATCATACATATCAAATTTTACTTCGTTTATTAGTCAGGATTTGCCATGCATCGGCTAACATCACACCTTCACGTCTGTTTAAACTGTTGGGATTCACCCATATATGTAGGGCTTCTGCAGTTAGTCTTTCTTGATATGAACCAAAACCTTTTTGTAAAACCTTAGTCTTATCAAAGTCGATTTTGTGTCCCGTTTCTATTGAATGTAGTGCAATCGCTGAGTTGTTTTCTAGCTTCTTCAAGTCTGCAGAGCTCTTTGGAACCACCTTTAGACATTGTTTATGCTCTTTTATTCTTATATTTACCTGTCTAGAAGTTTCTCCTACATATACTGCGTTACAATCCCCACAATTGATCTGGTATACGCAATTCTGCTGGTTTTCTTGTTCTATTTTATCCTTAACCTTTACCAGCAATGAACGTAAGGTGTTAGATGCACGAAAGTACACTCTTATGTTATGTTCATTAAGGATTCGCTTTATTTCATCGGATGTTTCTTTGAGGTAAGGAACCACCGCTGTACTAACCCAATTCTTAGCAGCAGGTTTTGATTCATCCTTATCTTTACATTTTAAGTATCTTTTTATGAAGGCTTTAGGATAATTATTTGACTCAAGAGTGGATTGAACTAATTTTAGTTCCTTGTTAATATCTTCCTCCTCAGTAACTAGACTTTTGGCTCTGTTGATCAGATTCTTGGCCACAGTTACTTTGGTGGTAAATGGGTGAGCTGAATGGTAATCTAGGTATCTATCCGAATTTGTCGGCTTTCTGAAAATGTTTATTTTAAATTTGCCGTCTAATTTTCTTTTTACTAAACAGTCCAGAAACGCCAACTCATTTTCATCGGATTCAACCTCTTTGGAGAACTTGATGGTTTCTGACATATTGTTTATTAAGTGAAAAAGTTCATTTAACAAACTACGTTTGATTATGATAAAGGTATCATCTACGTATCTTAACCACATCTTTGGGGGACTAAGGCATCTCATAATTGCATTTGTTTCTAATGAGTGCATAAACAGATTGGCGACTAGCGGAGATACTGGTGATCCCATAGCAATGCCTCCTATTTGACGACAAAGAACCCCTCTGAACGTAAATAACGTGGATCTAAGACACAATTCTAATACCTTCATAATTTCGTCGGGAGTTAAAAGACAACGATCACTGAGTTCATCGTCAGCACAAAGTAAATTATAAATAATACTTAAAGAATCATTAACGGGTACATTCGTGAATAATGAATAAACATCGAAACTTGCCATTATTTCATCTTTTTCAATATTAGTCAAATTCATTTTCCTCTTAAATTCATACGAATTTTTCACTCCATGCTCCACTTTCATTTCATATGGGCTAAGAATTCGATAAATGTATTTTGAGAGTTTGTATGTTGGAGAGTTAGTAAAATCCACTACTGGACGTAATGGTACTTCTGGTTTGTGTATTTTTGGTAACCCATAAAATCTACAGGGGCTGCAACTTTTTGGAGCCAGAGTAAACCAAAGTGATACACCGAGCTTTTCTTTTATTGACTGTAGCATTTTGCTTGTTTCAGCCTTCAGCTTATTTAATGTCGCTCTTGATTTATTCGCGTTGAATTTTTCATAAGGTCCATCATTAGTTCATACAATTTTTGTTTTTGTTTTGTTTTGTTTAGTATACCTATTGATTCATATTTTAAAAATAAGAGATTTACTTTTATATAAACATACAATCCCATTTATTTATTTATGATACATGTTGATACCTGTTGCACGATTCATGATTGGACAAGAATTTTAAAAACAAGATGTGTCCCTTTATATATAAACTTTGTTATGTTAATTTCGATTAATTTCCCTGAAGAAGTTCGGACCAGATTGCCGAACGAAACGTTGGAATTAATCATTTCAATTTCGCTGAGATTTTACAAATATAACTTTATAGATTTGGATTCCACTTGATATGAAGTGCTTCTGATATTAGACGTTCTCTGTGATTTCTGACTTCGTTGTGGATTATTTCAGTACTGCTAAAATCTATTTTGTGGCCTACTTCTATAGCGTTGCGCGTAGACCCTTGACTGATGATTTTCCAAGTTTTTCTAGTTCAATTTGGTTTCCTCCTTGGTGGAACATATGGTCTACAGTGTTCATTTCTTCTGATTTTGATTTCTCGAGATATTTGTCCGATGTGTATCGCTTCACATTCCAAACATTTTATTTTATAGACACATTTGGATAGAGAATATTTGGGAATTCAGTCTTTTATATGGACAAGGTTGCTTCGCAGTGAGTCTGGTGTTTTGAAGAAAACTCTGATACCTAGTACACTCCTTGATAACGGACGAGAAAGAGAAAGAAGAAATATAAAACATTACTGAGACTCAAGCAAAACTATTACCCAAAGAACGTCATCAACAAAATCAACACTGACATTTAGTGTGGTCGAAAGCGTATTTCGAAGACATGGACGTCAACAGTCGTTATTCCATATAGAGCAGAGACGTCAGAAGACGTTGAAGACACGTATTGAGCCGCTAGAGCTTTACATGCAGATAACTTTGTCTGCTGGATTCATCGTGTTTCTGAAGCACTACAAGTGGCATTCTAAGCGAATCTAAGATGACTATATGGCATCATTCAGGAAAATAACTTATTTGGAATGCTATTGAAATGACACCATATAAGACCCTCATCAGTGAGGCGAATACTCTATCTAATGAACCTGGTATAGTGACACAATCATAATGAGGTGATTTAAAGGTGATGTATGAGTTGTGCTTGAAAATTCATCCCGTTTAAAATTATACGGTACTTTACGCCATCGTGTAGTCGTTATTTCGAGTAGCGAGTGATGACAGAGAGTGGCTACCAGTGTGTTAACGACCATAAAATCGATACTGGCTACATAAATGAGATTGCTGCACACCTCTTAAGTGATGTTTACGTGCACAGAAATGCAAGTCAACTCCTTTCTCAAACTGACTGTGGCACACTATCATATAAATAAACATGTTGTAGAGGTGCTTCAAGGGCAAGTGCGATCCAGTCGCGTGTTGTCAGTTATATTCTGCCAATCTATCTGATCTGTGACGAAAGTGATGCCGCAACTGTTCTGTATTTGATGAAGTTTTCACTTACATTGTAGAATATTTGGAGAGTATTTCTTAGGAATAACAATGATTAACATACATTTGGTAAATGTTTTTGTGTGATAGAAACGAAATACGTTGTGATGATGGAAATTTACTTTAAAGTAAGAAACTTGGCACTTTTCCTCTTTAGTTCAAAACTCAATGCATGAATGGATTGTGCACCGCTTGTTTTTACATATATGTATGTAAAGTTACACCTGACTGATAGAACTCATTCTGTACCAAAGATAGGACTAGACACATCACACTAGTTACTGACTAGTGTGGATCGGTGGCACAGCGATTAGGACTCTCATCGACCATGCACATGGTCCGGGGTTCAACCGCCTGCCGATGCACACCTGATATCTATGGTCGGCCTGCAAAATTTGAGCTACCGATATCACATGCTGAAAATTCCATACTTGTACCAAAAATACGGTGTGGGATCAAGCTGTAATCAAATAAAATAAAATCAGTCGAAGAGTTACACTTCATTTGTGTATGGTTATTAGTAGAAGTAGCAAAGATCAAGCTGACTGAAAAATATGATATTTTATACCCCACTATAATTCTATCATACACTTATATACATTTCATTAACATTCGTGCATTGAAATAATGTTTATTCGAAAATTGGTTTATTTACAATAATATTTTGCAGCCAGAATGTACACAAACAAAGATCGTTATTGATTATCTCATGCAATGTA